TGATCCGGATCTTCCAGACCGGACGTCTGAACGCATGTCTGTATCCAGACCGTCTGGATGGCAGTTCAGATGTTCGGATCGTAGCCATGGATTTTTTCCTTCATGTGAAAATAGACCTGTCGTCTACGGAGATTGTATCTTGGTTTAGGTTTCCCATGTTTCCCGTGAAGGAGAGTGTTTGTTTGTGTGTGTGTGTACGTGTGTGCGTGTGTGTGTGTGTGCGCGCTTTGTAGAATCACCCAACTCCAAACACTCGATCCAGAACCCGCGCACATGAAGAAAAGTGAGGGCCACACACATGTGTGTGGTTAAACTACCGGTTCACCTGAGTTGGAGTTGAGCTCTTACCGGTATATGCAGTAAGAGCTTTCAATTTTTCACTGCACCAGCCGTGAATGAGGAAGGCCACTATGAGAAGTCCGAGTTGGAGGCTCGCAAGCCTTGATGGTAGCTTTGTCAACTTGTCCTCGTGTGAACTGGTGTTTTAAGCGCCAGGTGCCCACACACCCGTCTGTTCGGAAGGCACACTAGCACAACTTAAAAAAAAACAGGGAGTTTGGACAGCCAAGAGCCAACTTGCACAGACTTGTGGTCAACAACAACAGTCACAAATTAGTACATGACATAAGACCATTTTAAAAAAGAAGACGAAAAAAAGGACGAAAAGCCTCCCAAAATAAAGCCTTGGCTGTGTCAGTGTGTCACCATGCTAACATGCAGGTGTTGCTACATCCAGTGCCCAACAACAAAACAGCTTGCACTAATGGAAGCTTCGAGCTGTACCAGGAGGTCCACCCAGTATACTCCAACCCCCCAGGCAAGTTCAAAATTTGTGGCTCACGGGAGACTCACCCACCGAGAAAGCCCACGGAGCCTATCCATGAGCACTCCTCAAATGAGGCCTGATGCCATGGAAGTCTTCTGCTGGAGAGGGGTTGTGACATCCACAGAAAGAGTTGCCGGCGGAGAGCACCTGCGGCAAACACTGTGTGAGCCTCTTGCGGCCAAGCAAAAACCCACATCCACAACAAAGAAAAGATGCCCAATCTTGCGGCCAACAACTTTTTTCTTTTTTTTTCGTTGTTTTGAATATTTTATAGTTTTTTACGATTTCGATGGGATGCGGCTGCTGTCCTTCCACGGGCAAACAGTTTTGAACACGGGGGCAAAATGGCATTGAGGCCATGTGGCCGCATTGTCATTGCATTTTGAACTGAATTTTTCACCTTCCCACCTCTGGGGTCTGGTCCCACCTACAGCGTTGAGTTTTCTCAACGCTGAGCTTTCTATCACGTGTGGCATGGTGGGATAAAGCTCTGCCATTGATGTATTGCGATCCAATGGTACTGAAATACAGGAGAGAAACCTATTAGATTTTGTCATTTTGTAGGATTTCCCTTTGACGTGAAATCCGTTTTGTAGTATGCTTTGGCCCGTTTGGTTCGGGCGGGAAACCATTTTCCATTGAGAAACCTACCCTACCGAGGGTAGGGTACGTTTCTCAACTGCAGTGCCTTTCCTTTTTTGGTTTTTTAGACATCATTGCATCCTGAAACGAAGGAACTCTGACAGCTGTGTTTGGCTGTCTGGCATCGAACTCGTTTCCTTCTTTGGGCAATGAATGCATTTGGCCATCCATGTTGTCCCTGTCCATTTTACAAATGGTGACCTCCTGTCCCCTCACCACAGGGAGTATCCTTTTTCACGGAGACATTCACTCCGACTGTTCCAGACATGTTTCATTTCTCCGAGTTACGTTATAAAAAATAAGGAGAAAAGCTGTTTCTAACTTTCTAGCCTTTTTTTTCAGTTTTTTAATTTCTTGTTTCGAATTTATTAATGTCGAAATGGCGTCACACCGTTAAGTTTTCTAAACTCAACAACGGTAGGTGGGACCAGACCCCTGCACATGCAGAAGTCTGCGGTCTGGACAGGCTGGGCGAAAAACCGTCTGCTGCGGGGTTCCACTGTGGCCGAGCGGGACAAAAAAAAAGTTGTGTGCTCTCCATCCTGCCCTGGACCCCTGAACTTTGCTGAATGTTTTCATGATTTTACCTTGTAAAGGTAGTGGTGGTTTAAGATGAGGAAGTAGCGGGTGCACTAGGTAGAAATACTCAGGTAGGGTGAAACTCCGTGGGAGGGCCCTTGTGAGCAAAAAAATAACAAATGCAAGGGACCTGACTGTCCACAAATTGCCAGAGTGTATTACATCGCATGCCAAGATATCATTCACACAGATTACGAAGCTTCACACAAAGTAAAGTCGAGATGGAATGAGAACCAAGGTAGCGCAGCTTATATTATCACAACAACATTATAAAGAGTATCTCGAGTTCAAGAGTTAGGCGCCGAATAGTATCACAAGTCTCTCTCGTTCATCAACAACACATGGGCCTGGCTCTGCCAGCGCCTCCTCCAGATGACAATACAACGCAGAACAGGTAAGTGTCCACCATAGCCAACTCAGGAACCTGTCCCCCTCTCTCTCTCTCTCTCTCTCTCTCTCTCTCTCTCTCTCTCTCTCTCTCTCTCTCTCAAGATCCCTTGTCTTGGTCCTCTCGTCCCACCATACATGCAAACTCCTACTACGGGAATCTACTGTGAATGCTACTCACTGAAGACTACCTCTAACCCTTCTACATCTATTAACATGCTGGCGCAGTTATGGCTGCTTCTACCAGCCAGCGCCCAGCCCCTTCTCTCCTCTTGCGCAGCTTCTTCGGCCAGCGCTTCCCCAGCATGCTAGCGCACAAGTGCCTTTAGCACTTCCACGCATCAATGCCACTGGAGATCTGTCGTGCGGGGAGGCTGGCTTGGTTTCTTATACTGCTGGCCTCCTTTCACGAAGTCTGCATTGGCACACTTGGGGGTTCCCTGTCCCAGACCTCTGCAGTGTGCGTCCCAGTACCTTTTCCTTCAGGGTCTGCTGCGGCGGCGGCCTTCAGGCCTGAATTTCGGACTTGGGGTCTGAACCTAGACCTCATGTTGGACTTTGACTGGACTGGGACCTGATCTTTGACTTCAATACGAACAGGCACACCTACTGCCCGAACAGACACATACACTGCACGAACAGGCACATCTCCTGCTTGAACAGACACGACTTGCACACCCTCTGGATGAACAGATGTGTCTCCCACAATTGAATACTGCAACTGTTCGTCCAGGGGCACAACCGTGACCTTTGACATGACTTTTGCTTTAGTTAGGATGTGACTTTTGACCCAGAGAACATGCCTTTTTAATCTGCTTTTCACGAGTTGGGCTCTGGCCGAATGACCCCATTATGCTGCATTCGTCATTCAGGGTCTGAATCGGGTAAAGGCCCTTTTACAAATAACTATTGACCTTCTCCTTTTGTTGAATTCGGGCATGCCTGCTCTACTGAGGGCGCTCAAAATCACAGAACCGCAAAATCGGCGGCCAAACTGAGTCCTTCTATTAGGAGGACTCGATCTGGCTGCTCATTTGCGATTCTATTTTGAGGCCTTTTTGTGAGTATAGTCTCACCGAGTGCAAAATGGCGAATGTATCTTCTGCTAGGACATGGAAAGGTAGGCCCGTCATATTTTTGTCTTTTTCACATTTGGTGTGTGGGGCAACGGGCCCTTTTGTTTTTATTTTTTCGGTGGGAGTTGCTGTTACTTTCTGACTGATATTGGGAAGCAGAATAAGGGCACACTCACACCACAGCAGGCAGTTTCCTGGATGCGTCTCTCCGTAGTTACTGCTCTACTCATCCAAAAGAAGTCGTCGTGAGAATATGCCCTAAGGTGAAAGGAAACCACGTGGTCTACGGGTGATTCCCGCTCTTGGCCGTTCTGAACTGAGCCTGGGTGGACCTGACCTGCATCTGGTCATATTTAAGGTTAGATACGACGGGAACCTGTTTTTCCTGACCTGCAGTTTTGCCTCGGTGGTAGCCATCTGCGTCACATTTGGTTGATCATTGTTTTGGCTGGCCAAATATGTTCTGAATTTTCTTCTGGTTTCACTAGTGTTTTTCCTTTACACAGCGCAACCTCTTTTCCTGAGATTTCTCATTGCTTTCTCTCACATGGTGGTATCTACCCTCAGCCCGGGACCGGACTCTTTTGGAACTATTAAATCCCAAGGCCCCCCTCCTTTCCAGGAGAGCAGCATGCGTGTGGAGTGAGGAGTGAGGTGTTTCACAGTACCTCTGTTCAGGGTTCGTCTTCTCTCTGCTCAGGGGCTGAGCTACTGTCCCCAGGAAGTTACAGAATAGTAAACTGGTTCCCCCCTGGAAATTGCAAGGGACAGCCATCCTGTTGGTCACACATGAGCGTTACCTGGTGTCTCTTCTTTGCGAGGTTGGAAGATCCAACCTCTGGCTCCTTCCCTGGAGACCAGTATGTAGAGTGCACAAGTTCTCATTGGCTTGCCGTATTGCCTCCTGCTATGTTACTTGGGGAAAAAAAAAGGGTCAAGGATAAATGGCCTAAGAGCATGGATGTCCTTCTGGCCATGTCCGATTCCCTCTTTTTTCCTCTTTATCTGTCTGATCGTCTCATTCTTAACGAACGGTGTGAAACTCCTACCTTTGGAACGTGTGATCTGGGCCTGTGAAGACTGATTGACATGTGATCGGAAATGGATCGTTCTATTCCACTCATGGCTGTAGCCAAATGATGAGGTGGGCGATCAGCAGCAAGGATTTTGTGGACCTTTTTCATGGGGAGGTCGGAGCTGTTGGCACATGGTTGCAACTACGTGATGAGACCAGCGATCAGAGACTACGATTTTGCGGACCTTTCTCATAGAGCGGTGGTTGGAGCTGTCGACCGATGCCTGTGGGCTTGTCTTTCTGTCGTGATGTTTTGATGTTGTGTTTGGAGTATGTGGGTGGCACTTCCCTCCGTGGTTTCTCTTCTTTGTCAAGGCTTTGGCCAGTAAGGGAGTGAGAAGGGTCGTCTTGGGATCAGGTTCTGACCGCGTATCTCACAATTTCTCCTGGGTTCGTCTTTTTGCTTGTGGATCAGGTTCTGGATTTTGTATAATCTCCATGCTCATGTAAACATGTGAACTTGCCAATCAATGGAAGAGTACAGATATTGGCGAGCTTGTTTTGCACGTGGATTGATTGGAAGCCAAAGTGGTTTCTGGTGGCACAAAGCCATGACTTCGCACAAGATTGGCCTTTTCAAAAAGGGTGGTCAAATCGGCGCAGTCGGGTAAGGCACAGGCTATATCCTCCCTCAACCTGAGCTAAGTATGGTTGAAGCCTATTCGACATACTGAGGAAATGAGGAAGGTGGGATGAGCTGGGTGGTGAAGAAATCCTGACGGGACATCTATGTACCTCACATTGGAAGATAAATTGAAACATAAACTAGATGTATATTAAGACCTACGTTGTCATGGGTACACGTATGAGGCCTTTCCATACGTAACATACGGATATTCTGTGTACGGAACAGCATATGTGGCCACATACATTTTGTACTTGCAGCATACCCAAAAAAGAGAAAAACACTGAAAAAAAATATATGTCATGCAGCATTGCTATGTACCACACATTGGAAGATAAATTGAAACATAAACTAGATGCATATTAAGACCTACGTTGTCGCGGGTACACGTATGGGACCTTTCCGTACGTAATGTATGGATGTTCTGTGTACGGAACAGCATATGTGGCCACATACATTTCGTACTTGCAGCATACCCAAAAAAAAAAAACATTGGAAAATCAGAGAAAATATATATGTCATGCAGCATTGCTATACAAGCAATAATGGGCTGAGCGTCAACCCGAAAATCTGAGGAAAAAATAAAAACCAAAAAACAAATAGCCAGGGTAAAAACGAGATATTGAAAAAAAAGACTGTCGCTGCTGCAGCAATGTGCGTGTTTGTGTGTGTGTGTGTGTGTGTGTGTGTGGTTGATTTATTTATTGATCAATCCATAGATCGATCAATGGAACAAATCCATTGATCAATCAAGGTGGGGGGCGAAGGTTGTCATACGTGGGAGGAGACAGTGGGGATGGTTGGGAGAATACGGTCATGGAAGAGGAGGGTAGAGAGAGGTGATGAACAGGTAGGTGATAGATAGATTCGCTCGCTTGATCAATCGATTGGCTCGACCCGCGCGATTGACCAATTGGATCTATCCATTCGATTATTGAGGAAATACAGTGCGCAACTGCATGCACACAGTCACCACAGAGAGAGAGAGAGAGAGAGAGAGAGAGAGAGAGAGAGAGAGAGATTCATCCATTGATGATTGATTGATTGATTGATTGATTGATCGATGGACCAAATCCAATTGGTTGATGGATTTGATCGATCCGTTCACGGTTCTAAAAAAAGGGTGCGCACTTTTACTAGACAAAAAGCGTGCAGGAAATTTTCACGTTTTTTTGTAGTGATCAAACAAATCGATTTCATCTGTTTGATCATTACACAAAGAAGTGTGCGCAGATCTGCGCACCTGCGCAGGCATGTGTATGTGTGTGTGGTGATTTTCGCGGTACACAACTCCACAGTTAGAGCATGATTGAGCCAGACCATTTCATCGGACTTTCCCTGTGTATGTGTCTGTGTGTGTTGCGATGTGCTTGTACAAACACACATGTGTAGGATATCCCCAACGTGACGTGATCACGAACACCACCAGCGAAACCACCCTAAAGGCAAAAGTGAAATAGTCATGAGATTGGACGTGAAAGGCCGTCACACAGAGCATCGAGACTGAAAGGCAGGCGAACGACGTAAGGCAACAAGGCGTAAAGGACAGTGAAGCAAAGACAGAGACTGGAGGGCATGGGGGTGGGAAGACAAACAGCGCAAAGGATCAAGCCAAAAGCAGCAGCAAGGCATAAACAAGGCAAACAAGAAAAATTACAAGTGCCAAAAAAATTCAGAGACTATAAAAAATATAACTGATGATCAAAGATTGTTTAGTCGGAGTTGAACTGACTCATCAGGAGGCTGAACCCTCGACAATCTGCGGAATCTCCGTATTGATGGTTTGGGTCATGAACCCTCATGTTGAAGGCACACTGTCCTCAAGCGGAACACAGAAGCAGGGCAACAACTCTGTGAAGCACCAGGCAACTCTGCCGGAGCAACCCGGCTGCGCAATGCCAAAAACGATTGCAAGGAACGACACGGCAAACGGATGAGCAGCAGGGCAACATCGTGGTGAAGCACAAGGCAGCGCCAACACAGCATCCATAGTACACGGCACACAAGCAAGGAACACGAAAGGCACGGCATGCGGATAGGCAAACGGACGAGCAGCAGGGCAACAGCACGGCGAAGCACAAGGCAGTACCAGGACAGCAGCCACACTACAAGGCACACAAGCTAAGGACACAGAAAGCACGGCACTGGATGGGCAGCAAGGCAGCAGTGCAGCGAAGCACATGGCAATGCTAACACCACAACCACACCACAGTGAACACAACAGCCTTGGGAAGAACTACATCCAACACAAGCAGGACGGGCAGCAAGGCAGCGGCAAAGCGCAGTCAAGGCAGTCTGCACATCACCCAGACGAACATCCGTCATCACCCACAGGGAACACAGACATCCCAAACCGCGCACCCCCTCTAAGAGTGCTGTAGGCGCTCCAAACAACGGACCACCTACCGTTTAGCACTTCTCTAGGGTGCTCACTCCAACAGAGAAAGAAAAGAATCAGGGGAAGGAGGAAAAACAAGAAAAAGACAGGCATATATAAAACTGATTTTGTGTGTGTGTGTGTGTGTGTGTGTGTGTGTTTTGGGTGTGTGCTCATATGCACGCCATACCACGACGAGTGTGTCTGGCCGAGCTCCAGTGTTGAGGCCGGCACACTGCGGAATCCTAGCAGGGATTGCGATGTCTGTTCGACGGTGGAACGTGTTATGTGGTGCAGCCGATGCGTTTGTTGGTGCGTAGTCGCCATAAAAGGGAGCGGTTGTCAGGCAGTGTGAACAAAAAATATTAGGGATAGGCTGGAGGGCAGAGTGGAGGCAGGTGGGCAGGCTAGACACCAAGAGACACCAAAGGGAAAGGTAGCCACTAGACCTGCCTTGAGACAGCACGGGCTGGAGGGGGGCGGGAGGCCATACAACGGACATGCGCACAAGGCAGGGGAAAGACTCGTACCAGCAAACCAGAAAAAAAACAGAAAAAATTACAAGTCCCAAGAAAACAAAAAGACCACACAAAGCAAATCTGATGATGGAAGTTTGTGTCGTTGGAGTTGCACTGACTCATCAGGAGGATGAAAACTCTACAATCTGTGGATTGCTCATATTCATGGTCTGGGTCTTGAACCCTTTTGACCCTTGTTGATGGCAGACTGTCCACAAACAGAACATAGCAGCGGGCAGCAACTCAGGGAACCACCAGGCAACACTGTCGAGGCAACACAACTGCACAATGCTAAAAAATGCAACTGCATGGACAACATGGCAAGCGGACAAGCAGCACGGCAGCAGCACAATCCAATGCAGTGCCACTTTCGCACCTATACGGCATCAGCGTGCTGTCATCACTCAGCATACACCCAATATATTTTTCCCATAGCCGTGCTGACACGACCCTCTCTACCCCAGTCCGCCAATCACCAACAATCAACCAACGCACAAGTGTCGACACTAGTCTGGAACCAACCCTGGACTACCAAACAAACCAATGCACCAGCGCCAATGGAGCGGCATACGAACCTGCTCTGATACCAAATTGCAAGGAAAACGAGCAGTGCGAATGACAGAAACGAGATTGCATCATCACATTGGAAGTCGTCTGCTCGAACAGAAAGCAGCATGCACCAAGATATACACCAAAGAAGAGGGAAGCAATGAGCTCAATTGACAATGTAAGCCCCCATGTCGCCCTCACCATTAATGTATCCAACCCAGGTCCGCCAATCACCAATCAACCAACGCACAAGTGTCGACACTAGTCCGGGACCAACCCTGGACTACCAAATAAACCAATGCACCAGCGCCAATGACGCGGCATACGAGCCTGCCCTGATACCAAATTGCAAGGAAAGCCAGCAGTGCAAATGACAGAAACGAGATTGCATCATCACATTGAAAGTCGTCTGCTCGAACAGAAAGCAGCATGCCCCAAGATACACACCAAAGAAGAGGGAAGCAACGAGCTCAATTGACAATGTAAGCCCCCATCTCGCCTCCACCATTAATGTATCCAATGCCGCTCTTCTATATGGCGCTCAGTGCCCAGAATACAATCTGAGATCACCTAGACTAGCCAATCAACTAATGACACAACCAGGTCCTCTTCAGCAGCAGCCCAATGACGTCCCCTCGTGCCCTGCCCATCACCAATCTTCTTCCACAGGCACTTCTATTCTTCCCCAAGGACCTCCGCCATACCCCACTGGCTTCCTCTGTGTGAGCTGCCCAGCTATGGCTCCCACACCTTGCTGCACCCAGCAGCTTTGATCCCCAGCGCCCGTATGTGGACCTGCTCCAGGCAGCTCTGTCTGACCAGTGTGCGCTGAAGCAGCACTGCCGCACATGAGCCGACCAGACCCTCGCAATAAATTTATGCTTCACTTTATGTTTGAAAGTGAAGCATAAAACAGAAACATAAATTGAAACATCAAAGTAACTCGAGACAATCATAAATTAAAATTTGAAACATAAATTTGAACATGAAAGTGCATGGATTGTGCTTGTATGATGCTATTTTGGATGCATTAAATAAGGATATAATTATAATTATATAATTATTAAGGATAGAAATAATAATATAATATTTTTGTTGTATTACTATAAAGAGAATATTGTAATAGAAACATTTTTTCCATTACTTAGCCAGTTAGCTTTTGCGCTCTCAACTCTGTTCTGAACCTACGACTCTGCTGCAGACCTGGACCTACAACGTTCCACTCTTTGTCAAGCTTTTTTTATTACTATTTAGTATTTAGTATTTACTTGACGTGTATTATGTAATGCGACTCAATGTTGAACCTTCTCAGGTCATTCATAAGTTGCGATTTCCTTGTTTAATATTTTGGTCATTTCACAGCATCCGGAAGAGATTGGATGTGGACATGCTGGGCGGGACATGCAGACGAAGATGACGAAAATGTGAATTTCAGGTCCTGGGGGCCGAGGGGTCATGGCAGGCAGCGGAGGGTTGCATGAGGCTGGGATAATGAGTCATGGGAAGGATGAGGGATGAGGGGATGGCCTGCAGTGTTTCTCATATATGAGGATGGATGGGAACGGAGCGGGATAGGGGAAGGAGAACCTCCATGTCCGGAGGATGTACAATCTGCCTACTGAAGGCGGATGTGGGCACGGACATGCCGACGCCACACCTCCCCTGCTGCTATGAGTGGATACCAATTCTGAGCACAACAGTGAGGTTGGGTGCAATCTGCAGGTTCTCTCTCCACGTTGAAATGAGAATTAAACTTGCTTGTGACAGTGAGACCCATACACCAAGGGTCTTATAGACTGTGCTATGGGACAAGTGAGAGAACTCAACGCTTGCAGCAAATGCTCCCTGAAGGGCGATGTGGTCTGTTCTATCGAGGTCTGCAGGGTGTGGTATTTGAGATAAAGAGGGGAGTGTATTCATAAGTTTCATGTGTGTAAAAATAGAACAATCTCCAGGGCCCAGGTGGTGGGAGAGGGAGGGGTAACGGGGATTAAAACTCTTGAGCTGCAGAAGAGCACTCTGCCTTTGATCCTTTGATGGTTCCTGTTCCAGTGGTGTTTTTGATTTTCTGTTTATTTTCCCCCTTTTTTCTGTTTTTCTTTCTATTTTTCCCTTGTTGAAGGGAATAGCCCCTAACATTTGTTGTGTCTATCTGATTCGAGCAGGAGTTGAACTCATCATTTGTTGATTAACAGTTACATGTCTGAACCATTCAGCTGCATAGGCTGGGTGTTGGTATGGTATTTTGCATTCTTTGTTATTCCGTAGTGGGTGTGCTGTACTCGCGTTCCTTTTCCGTGGTGAAAATTCTCTGATTTATTACTTGTATTCATCCAATCACTGCTGGTTGGCGAAGTGCAATAACTCGTCATTCCTCGTTCGCAAACAACCACTGGTAATTGTGGTAATGCACCATCCCTGTTTGCTAACAACCGTTGGTAATTCGGATAATTCAGTCACTGCATGGTTGCATCCCTGCCGACCGCCGACCCCGACCGTCGACCATGTTGCAGCTGACCAGTAGGGCTGACCGGTCGGCGGTCTGCCGACCAGTCAGAAAGCAACCATCCACTATTATTTTCCCAGTTCTGAGTTGGAAGCTGTATTACGCCTGCTGAGTACAGCCAAAATCCACTAGTTGGGGTTCTGGACCCAATATATATATATAGCCTCCTGATGAGTCGGTGAAACTCCGACGAAACAGTTTGTCACAGCCCCTCGTTTGTTGTCCTCTTCTCCCTCTCTGCCTACGGTTTACCGGGCAGTTCTATTTGACGATATATACTACGACTTCGCTAGCTTCCTGCTACGGTTTTCTCCGGTCAGGTCGAGCGGCAGTGGTCGGGGCCGTCACTACGCGGCCATGCTGTGCCTCTAGTGCCAGCAGCGTGTCTGGAGTGTATTTTTTGGCTGTGACAGACCTTTCTTTGTTTCGTGGGTGTTTTGCTGGCTTGTGATGGGGTGTGAACCGACAGTCTGTAGAGTTTTCCATTTGGTGTGGGTGAGAGACAGTCTACTTTGATTTTGGTTAAGGTGGATTATCACTTACAGTGTAATCAGTGAGGGGATTCTACAGACTGTTGAGGGTTCAGCCTCCTGATGAGTCGGTGAAACTCCGACGAAACAGTTTGTCACAGCCCCTCGTTTGTTGTCCTCTTCTCCCTCTCTGCCTACGGTTTACCGGGCAGTTCTATTTGACGATATATAGATATATATATGAGTCGGTGAAACTCCGACGAAACAGTTTGTCACAGCCCCTCGTTTGTTGTCCTCTTCTCCCTCTCTGCCTACGGTTTACCGGGCAGTTCTATTTGACGATATATAATATATATAGATATATATTTGCTGGGTGCCGACAACCCCCGACCGGTAGGTGCCAACCAGCTGACCGGTCGGCGGGTCGGCAGCCGACCAGTCAAGGGTCGCCGAGGGTCGAGGTGTGCAACACTGAGTCTCTGGTAATTGGGATGATGCGACTTCCAGCTGTGGTCTAGCTTGTTGACTCTTGGTTTGGTGTGTCTTGGTTTCTATCCTTCTTTTTCTTTTGTGCTGTTTTGCTGTGGCCTTGTTTCTGCTCCTGGCTATGTGGACAGGAAAATCCTGGCTGTGCTTCTCCTGCTCGGGATGGTTGCTGATTTACCTGACAGTGTACAAGGCGCCGCTGTTGATCATGGTATGTCTCCATATGACCTGATCTTTTCTTATGGTAACTACTGTCTCGTGGACCTTGTTCTGATTATTGATGGAATTTGATGGTTGTTTTCTTGCTCGCAAGGGCAGGTGGCACCCTGGCATGGTTCCGTAGAGGGTGTCACCCTGGCATGGTTTCGTTCCAGGTGGCAGCATGAAAGGGTTTTGTAGTTGGTGCCACCCACCCATGGTTCTGTACCAGGTGCCAGCTCCGCATATGTCAATGCGTGTGCTAAATTTGTATTAGGTGCCGGCCCAGCATTGCTTCGTAGTGAATGCCACGCTCACATGATTTGTAACAGGGGCCAGCTCGGTCATGCCAGTTGCCTACTGTGCATTGTTTCATAGTGGGGTGCTACCGTCTTCACCCGAAGAACGCCCGGTCATTATCGCTGCATCTGGTCTGAAAGTTGCCCCAAATACAGCTATAAATGATCGGGGGTTCTATTCGGGTGAAGATGGTAGTAGGTGAAAGTTTGTAAGTTGCTAGCTTGGCGTGGTTTCAGAGTGGGCACCACCCTGGTATTGTTTCAGAGTGGGTGCCACCCTGACATGGTTTGGTAGCTGGTACCATCCTGGCGTAGTTCTCTAGCAGGTTCCACCCTGGCAATTTTTGTATCAAATGCCACCATGGCATCGTGAGTTATCTTTACAGCCTGTGTGCTGGCCAGATACAGTCCTGATAATAGGGAGTTATGTTTGGGGGATTAAAGACGTGGTGGGGTTGGTCACCGCTTAGGTGATCTCATTAGCTAGTTGCAGGGAGAGACGAGTGGGATCACTGTTGAATGCTATTACAGTTTGTGAGTGATAGAGGAGTGAAGAGGAAGTGTTCTCCTCATTGAGAGACGTCAACATTATAATTATTTGCGTAATTGTGAGCTAATTGTTGGTGTGTCTGCTTTCTGTTTGTCATTTGACTCAATGCTCATTAATGTGTGTGTAGTAGTGTACACAATGCTGTCATGGTTGGTGATTCTTCTTACGGTTCTCTTGAATGTGTTATCATCGTGGATTCAAACACTTGGAATGTCCCTTTCGGTCCCTCACCCAAGTTTCATGGCATCTGTGACCGTTTCCAACCACTTGTGAGGCAACCCAAGAATTATCGGAGTTAGGTGTTCCGGGTTGCCAGAAAACCATCATGCACAGAAACCCAGATGGATCAGAGATTATGTGAGCGTCAAGTAAACATATGGCTGAAAGAAGCCAACTACAGTTAGAGGAAATCAGCACAGGATCGTGTGTGCACATTCACAGAGGCTTTCAATTCAACAACTGCCCGTCAATGCAAGGAAGTACAGAAAACCATCCGCCGTGGTTTGCAAGTAGTTGCATATACGATCTCCCTCCTCCCTCTCTCCCTGCTCCCCCTCTGTGCCTTATCCCCCTCCCCCCTCTGTTGATTGTGTCCTCCCACAACAGTGTCCAACTCTCTCTCTCTCTCTCTCTCTCTCTCTCTCTCTCTCTCTCTCTCTCTCTCTCTCTCTCTCTCTCTCTCTCT